GACACAATAAGGGTGGAAAAGTAAGAGTGCTTCACTGCCCTTATTGCCACAGGGTAAGTCCTCATGAAGGCTCTTATCTGTGCTCAGTTGACTTCGCTCTTTGTCTTCCTCCAGTAGTGGTCTAGGTGTCTCTTTGTCTCTTCATCTGTTGGAGCTACTCAGTAGACCATGGTGCTTTATGAGATCCATGTAACAGAGAGGTCCGCACAGATGTAATTCGTCCAGTGCCCCTGTCACCTGCTCATTCCAAGTTGCAACAAGGTCTCTGCTGAACTATGTGCAGGCCCCAAGCTCCCTCTGAAACCACACTGGGTCCATCAGGCCACTGGGGCAGGCCGATCTAATGGGCCCTGCCTTCCTGCAGAGAGGGGTGTCTGCGGAGAACTCTAGGGCCAAAAGGGACTGATCTGTCCATGGCAGATCATAACACCATTGCCTCAAGGCAAACACCAGATCCAGTGTGTGATTCCCCCATGTGAGTCGGGCTGTGAATAAGTTGGGTCAGGTCCATGGCTGCCATAGTAGCCATGAACTCTGGTGTTACCTCAGACCCTGGGCCCAGGGAAGGCAGGCTGGCAATGTTACGGAAGTGGTTCACCACTGCCATCTTACAAGACATTTTTTGACCTCCCAGTCTGGGCTACAGCTAAATTGATGCTCTCCAATTCCAGCCCCAACCTTCCTTAGCTTCTGAGCCCAGATAAAATTGTACAGATGCAGATAATAAGCCATTTTTTGTAAGATAAATTGCAGCTGCAGTGGGCTGGAAGTGAAGAGAAATACAAACAGCATTTTTATACTATGAGGTGGAAATGATTTGCTACCTCCTATGATCTGCAAAAATCACCCCTTCCTATTGCACCTCATATTGGAAAGGAAAAGGAATCCCCATTGGGTATCTCCTAGGATCCAGATGCTGCAAAGCTCTCAACATGGTCAATATCTATCGTTACTTACAAAAGTGGAAATAATTTTTCTGTAATGACACACTACCTCTGGCTGTTGGTCCACCAGTTTGAAAAATTAGGCTTTTAATGTATATAGGAGAGGAATAGTTTAAGTTGAAATGTATTAATGAATACCCCAAGATAACATTCAGCTTGAAAAGCAGGAGATGGTAGCAAGCAAGCCCATGGGCATTAATATTAAAGATCCTGACCTGATGAACTTTCCAGTACGTATTTGATAATGTAAGTTCAGGAAGTGTTCCTTCTCCCCTATCCATCAGTGTTTAGAGCAAAGATAACATACCCTGTATCTCCTTTTTCCTCCTTCTCACTTAACTTTAACCACAAGAGTAATCATGTTTTACAAGACTGCCTTTCTTCTGTCTACAAAACATCATTCTTAAACTGAAAATGTTTTGGCACTGGAAGCTGAATCTTCAGTGTGAGTAGGAGAAGACGTTTATTTTAAAGACATGGTGTAAATAGAGCATACTTTATTCCATTTCCTTTAAAACTGTTTATACTTGCTTTGTGAAAAATCGTAACTCTTTGGGGCATGGAGGGCTTGGGAAGAGAGCTGGGAGAAGTGACCTTGCAGATTATTGTTGGCTCCCAGGGAACAGCAGCAGATACCAAGAATTTCACTGCCCTCTCCCATCGGAAGTCCATGGACAGTCTCATCGTTGCATGGTGTTAGGGAGACTTTCCATCTCTGACTTTTAACTTCTGTCCTGCTCACACAAACCTTGGTGTGGGGCAAGATTAAATTATCACTCTTCCTCACTGTCACCCTGCTGAGATGAAAGTAGCGTGCATCCTAGATTTCCAGAAATCCTGCTTTACAGTCTACTTCACTTCCCTGTCAGGTGTATTGTTCCTCATCCAATTCTTCTATCAATCTGAGAGTGGAAAAACAATGAAAAGTTGAATTAATATCTCTGTATTTCCCTAATATCTCTATTTTATACAGTACTGTATTGCTGCATACATTTTTCTATGCAATTTTTGAGCCAGAATTGCATAATACAATTTAGAGACATGCAACCTTCAAAAAATAGTTGAATTCCAATCTTCAGATATTCAGGAAAACGTGCAAATTAGATTGGTTTATGTGAAAAATTATATAAGTGTATTTGGCCACATCCCAAATCTTCTCACACAAGATAAGACTGGGAAGAATTTAGTTTCTATTAAAGGTAGCCAAGTAAATCCCAGGGCTTGAATTAAGAGGAGGAGCAAAGAGGGTTCTGAATCTCTTTTCTTATACTATTTTTACAAAACTACTTTAGGATCCCACTCTCTCTTTTCATCTCTTTAGTCACATCTGATTTTCAGAGACCTTAAGATAGCATTTGCCTAAAATTAAAGCCGTCAATTAGTGGATGAGTTATGTGGATGTTATTCTGTTTGCTATAAAGCAAGTTTCCCTTTACAATAGGCCTGAGCAGCCTGTGTGGGCCACACACAACATCTCAGCTCTGTTTTGCAACCCCCCAGCATCCTTCAACATTGCACCACCAAAATTTGGCTGTCGGCTATCTCTTTTGGGCTATGCATTGTTTTTGCAAAATTTTGTAAAAGCAAGATATTAAAAGCCTGCAGGAGACCTAATCCCCCTACTTTGCTTTTTTTTTAAAAACTCACTCCCCAAATCTATACCCATGGTACCCCAACTGCAATCCCCTCCAAAGCTCCCAGTATTATTTTTTAAAGAACATATGGGAACTGTTTGCTAGTAAAGATGAGGCTGGCATTTCATAGAACGACTCGGTTTCTAAGTGTGATACTATGTATTATTTTCAGTCCATTAATGACAATTTCTGCATATTCCGTTCAGAGAGTAAACCACTTAACTTGTGCGGCTTTGGTTTATAATATTTTCTCCTGAACTTCTTGCCAAATCTTTTCCAGTTCCACAATGTTAATTAGGAAAGCAAATATCATTTACATGTCACAGTCTTTGGGAGATAAGAATCACAAGAAGAACCCTGCTGGATCAGACCATCGAGTTGCTTAAGGTTTCTAGGCCAGCATCCCATTTCTTATGAAAACCAATATTGTCGTTGTTTTGTCTTCAACATATGATGTTCAGAAATAGTCTGCCTCTGAATATAGCCAACAAGACTAGTTGCCAAAGATGGGCTCAAACTTCTCCCTGACTTCTAGCTCCTGATGAGCGCAATCTTGGTAAAAAAAAAAAAAAAGAAGAATCAGGCTTAAAGAGTTGTAGACAGGTGCTATGTGTGTGCCCCTACACTGTCCTAAGCACTTTTTTGCCTTTGTAGCACTGCACAACCCTACAATGCCCCGCTTCTCTTGTTTGTTCTTATTTCTTTTTTATTCAAATAATCATGGTTTCAGATGTCCCCAGTGTTGAAAGTGAAGCCTGCACATCTAGCTCGGCATGATTTGGGACTTCCTGTAGAGGTAAAAACTATCCAATCAGGGATCCTAGCAAATTAAAATTGAGCGGCTTGACATCTGCATTTGTGGCTATTTTCTGGGCCAGCCTGATGCACTTTGGGAAAATATTCATCCAGGCAACTTCAAACATAACCCAGAAACATAAACATAGTCTACAGCCAGCCCCGTTGCATTCTGTAGCTACTGTCATTGTGCCACAATGCAGCAGGATTAGATTTTCATGGAAAGGTCTTTCCTTATCATGAGAATCTTTGGACTGAAGATGCTGGGGGATGAAGATGGGAGGGACTTTTAGGTGATGCATATATGCTACCTCTGAGCTGTGGGTACTTTCTAAGTAAATCCTTTCTCTTCAAGTGAAAAAGGAGCCCATTTAATTTCAAATCAGCTACAGGTCTTGCTCAGTCTCTTCTGATGGGTAACTACTTTGGAACCTTCCCCAGCTCTACATCTTATAATCCCAAAGAACAGAGATATAGGTAGGTAGGTGGGTGGGTAGATAATCTCCACCAAGTACTTAATAGCAACTCTCCATTAAGGTATGCATCTAGGTTTCATTCTATGAGGCATGCTTGCTTTTCTCTTCCCATTTGTCATACATATTTCTGCATGTTTGTCTAACTCAGCTTGTACTCCCGCTATCCAAAAAGCTGATAATTTGCTTTGCATTTGAATCAATGATGTCAGTAGTGAAAAAAATGCCTGCAAATAATAATATGATTAAAGTTTGGGAATGGAATGCTTGGAAATAAACTTCTCCTCTGAATTTGTTACAAGCTGACCTCAAACATTTATAAAATGTATGTTTACTTTAGTTCATATGGAGCTCTCAATATTATCCAAACATTGTTCCCTTCGATTGGCATTACTGAATAATCCCAAATCCCAAATGCATCAGTTGTCACAGGAGCAACCTAATAAGTTGAATCCATATGCAGGGCATGATCTGGCTATGGGTCTAGAAGTATCCCGTGAGAAAAAGTCTTTGAAATCTGGCCCTTGTCTGTCTCCATCCCATATTTGGTTACACTTGGTGTTAATCCTGACAGGTGAGAATTCGTAACAAAACCCTTTATCAAAGTAATAGTTTACCCTGTACTTCTGCCACCTCCAGTTTGGCAAGGGGCATCAACTTTAATAAGAGATATTGGGGAATCTGCTTTGTTTTAGTTATGAGCTAAAAATCCTTCTGCATATATATTTATTCCTGACTGCCCCAAACTGGTTTCAGAGGTATAATCTTGAGGCAGGGTGATGAATCCTTTTTGTTCTTTGCAATCTGCTGCCAGTTACTGAAAGATCTACCAAGAGATTCTTCTGCTCACCCTTAGCCTAGAAGCCATTAGAAGCCCCTTCTTGCTGAACCTGGCTGGAGTCGCTGAACAAGTAATTTGTTAATATCCCCAGCTACTTCTGCCTTATGAAAGGGACATGTTGAATTTGCATTTCTGAAATGCTGAGCAGCCACAGTTCTGTCTTCAAGCTTTATTGATTCTCAGTAGTTCTGAGAAAATAAGTTCCCTAGCTTATATTGCACCTCCAGCAAATCTCCATTTGGTGGATTACTTCATAATAATTAGACTTTGATCTTTCTCTCTCTCTCTCTTTCTCTGTCTCTCTTTTTCAAAGCAAAAGCAAACCAGCCCCACAAATTTCACCCAGCAAATCTGTTGGAGGAGAATTCTGCGTTGCTGCTGCCTTTGGCTCATCAAGGTCTTGGTTTGCAAGCAATCCTGGTCTTAAGAGAGAGAAAGGTTTGTGCAGAGACAAAACAACTGATGAACAGATGGATTCCATCATAAAGCTGCCTGAGGTTGCATCAGACCATTTGTCTGTCTAGCCCATTCTTTGCTGTGGCTTTCCAGCCTTTCTCTCCTGGACTGGAAATGCCGGGCCCAGAAATATTTTGCAGGTGCCGGGCCACCATGGAATGGCTCTTTTGGGGTCTCCTCCTTTTGCTTTGATTTGGAATGATACCACTGGAAGCTGGTGTCATTCTGGCCCAGAGGGAGAAGTGTTGATTCTTATAATGGGAGGAATAGCTCATTCCAATCTGAATGTTAGCAAGAACTGAGTGATGGTGAAACACAAAGCACCGCCTGGCCGTAGGCAAGCTAAACAAAGACACGAACAATTCAAGGGTGCAGAAGAGTATTGTAAAGAATCCAAGGTTAATGTATTCTGGATTGCTTTTTTCTGGGAAATTCCAAAAATAGCACATAATTTCTCAGCTATTCACCTTCCTGAGAATAGTGGTAGTATTACTAGTTGTACTCATAGATTTTATTTATGTAGCCCCATTGATGTGCAAGGCGTCCACTGTATAATGAATGATGGGAAATTCTGGGCAGGCAAAAAGGGATCAATTTGCACATAGTGCAGAGTTAAGATGCTGACTTTTTGAAGCCAAAAGTAAAGGAATGATCCTTGACATGGATGGGACAAAAGGTCATCAATGGCTACTAGTCATGATGGCTGTTTATTCCTGCCAGGATTGGAGGCATGTTTCCTCTTAATGCCTGTTGCTGGGAACACAAGCAGGAGGATGCGTTTACATTCATGTCCTCTTTGTGGATTTTCTGATAGGGAATCTGGTTGATGAGTGGGAATAGAATTTGGAAGGCCCTTAGCTGTGTGAATCCCTTTGAGATGTCAGTGATGTGAAATTTGTTAACAGTGAAAATAAAATAAATATCCATTATTCTCATTCCCCAATAGATCAGTCCAAGCAGTTCATTGTCGAGTCTCTGTATATCATCAGCTGCTATGGCACTTTGGTGGAACATATATTGGAACCTCGACCGCTCAGCACCGCTCCTAAGATCAGTGATGACACCCCACTGGAAATGGTGACCTGCCCACGGGCTAGTTGGACTCTTGTCAGGTAGCCCAACTTTCTTTGCTGAAGTTCATATTTTCATAAATTTCTCTTTCAGCAAGTTTCAGGGGTCTGATGTGTTGATGTTGCTGCCCAAACAGCAGAGGGAGTAAACTACGGAAAGGAATATTCTAGTCTGAGGCCACAAATTCTGCTAGAGATGCTCAGTTCTGCAGCTGTATAAATTATTCAAATTGTCCATTTTTCATAATCTCTCTTGTTTTGCATCCTGAAATTTTAAATATTTATCACGGTTTATCTTGTCATATGCACATGCTAAGACGCTATCCCCATCCCTAATCTAATTCAGAAATATCTTTGGTTCTAAGACTTCAACAGGCAATGCTCACATGGTTTCAAATACGATTTTAAAATTCTAAGTAATAGGAACTTGATACTTCTATTTTAAAATATGAAATCCTATGTCCAAAAAACATCATGTACTTTTGTTGTTCCTGCATAATTTTTCCATACACATGCCTCTGTCCTGGGATCTGGATTGTACTGTGTTTAAAAAGTGCAGCTTTGCACTAACTTGAACTTTGTACAAGAGGTGAGAGTGTAATCAGTGGATGTTTGTGGTGAACTGAATCCCATTAAGTTGAGTGTGATTTTCTTCCAGGTAAGTGTCTGTTCCCTTGCAAGTCAAAACACAGGCCATGCTTTCTTTTCTGCCTTGCTCCAAAGTAGCTTGGAAGAGAGAATGGAAGGAGGCAGACCAATGAGCCCCACAGAAGAGTCCCATAGGCCGGATCAAGCCTAAGCATCGCCAACTTGGTTCTCAACTGCGTTCAGTAATGAGTGAGACCAGTTGTCCTTTGAGTCTTCCAAGCTGGCCCATTTTGAAGGCCATTTAGAGAAATTAGGCCTGATTTACAGAATAAAATGAAAGAGGGATTGCTGAGAAAATATTGTCAGTGTCTTTGACATTTTAAAATATTTTTCAATTGATTTTTTTGTTGAGGGGGAGCGGGTAAGCTTCAATCTTCTCCAATGCTCATTCCTGGCCTGAGCCAATCAATACATGTTATACCAAGGAGCTGAGGAGAGGCCAGCCCTAATTAAAATGACAACATGGTCTTTCAGGGCCATTATTGTCAAAACAAGTAACTTGTAATGGGATTGCAGATTCTAACCAGATCAATATGTTGTAACTTTACAGAACTTGGTTTTCACAGATTGGGAAGTCTTCAGATGCATACTTTCCTATTCAGTAGTTGTTTCAGGTCTACATCAGACATAATGTGAGATGGGTGGTGTCTAAATCAATCAATCAATCAATCAATCAATAAAGGCTATATGCTCTTGAAAACAACCCAGCATATTGTATTATATCCTTCCCCATTAGGTACCTTCCAGATAGGTTGCACTTCTATTCCCACAATCCTTATCCAGGATTACCATTTCCTACAATTTGGTCATACTGGGTGGGGATTACAGAAGTTGAAGTCCAATTTACCAGGCATCACCAGATTAGGCAATGAAAGGAATTTTTTTTAGATAGATAGATAGATAGATAGATAGATAGATAGATAGATAGATAGATAGATAGATAGATAGTATTTCATGTAATTTTTAAAATATATATAGTATTTCATGTAATATATTTTTTCAACTTCATGTTACTAAGAGTGTGATGAAGCCCATTTAATTTCCCCTCATGTGTGGGCCTCAGTCTGAGAATTTAGTTGGCTGGATTTTCATCCAGGTAAGGCACATGAAAGATCTACTATGCTTGTTAAAAATATAATGTGTGAATGGGAATCTTGTTACTTAAGGTTCAGTTGTGAAAGCAGAGGTGTAAATATGTGGAGTGGATTCAGACTAAAACACCAACCCTGCGCCTCATTCTTCTCAAGCCCTGGAAGCATCAAGAGATCAGAAAGCCAAGAAGTGATGTCAGCATTCTCTGTTCTATTTATTGCTACTCTATAGTTAATCCAGTGGATGGGTTGGGTAGCAGTTCTGGTTTGCTGTTCTCATTGCCATGTTGTTTATAGTAATAGTTATCGGAACAGAGGAAGAGGTGCCAAGCTACTGTTTGAGGGACAGATACAGCATTCGTAACACCCTCTGTGCTTATAATGCACTCTATGTAGTCCTGAAACCATTTTAGTAGATGTAATGTACTGGATCCAAACCTCTGAAGTTAGATCTCTTCTGTGAGAAAAGTCTGTATTGTTTCTCTCTGCAAGGAAGAGAGATCACACTGCACTCTGTATGGTACACCTCACTGAAATAGGGGAAAGGCGTTTATACCACTCTCTGCATCATGTGAAATATCTTGTGTTTTCCTGGCAAGAAGAAGGCGCCATAGCAATGCTCAAGCCCCTACTTTGTCTGCAGAAGGTTCTAGGTTTAGTTCTGGGGTCTCCAACTGAAAGAAGCAGGAAACAAATGATGGGAACGGCTACCCCAAGGAAGCCATCAAAGGCAGGATAGATAATATTGAGCTGGAGGGACAATTTGTCTGACCTGGAAGGAGATATTTACCTAAGTTGATCCCTTTTTCAGAAGAACGATAATGTGAAGAATCCCTGTGAGTCTGCGTGCATTAGCATACACAGGTCCTTTTTTTGAAATACACCATTTTCTGGAGAGCAGGCCTCTCATTACCCCTTTCCCATCTGTCTTGAAATATTCCATGCTTGGAGCAAATGACTTTAAATAATTATAAACACTGTATTCTCTTGCATAAATAATTGGATGTGATGACACAGATGCTGATTTTTCTCTCTCTCTCTCTCTCTTCCAGCTTAAATATTAATACTCTTGTGTCGCTTCCGCAGAACTCCCCAGTGGAATGAACTGCAGCCGCCCTTTAACTTGAATCATCCGCTCCTCCTGGCCGCAGATTCTGTGCAGTGCTACCAGTATCTGCTTCTTGGCTGTGAGTATCCTGGAAAGTTCCTTTTTGGAGGCGCAACATGTGGTGGCCTGTTGTTGTTACTATTTGTTAAAAAAGATGAATGGAATTTAGTATGTAGAAACCATCGTAGCTGTTCCCCTTTTCATATTAACAGCTTTCGCATGCTCTTTACGTGCACAGGTCTGGGCATGCTTGTCAAGTCCTCAAGATCTGTAATGATGAAGCCTGATGGGCATGAGTACCAGATCTCTGGGGGTGCCCCAAAGGTCTACAGTGGAACAACAGTTGTCTTCACTTCAACATGGTCATCAAGCTCTACACAACTGGCAGCCCTAACAAGGCAGGGGAGGCCAGTTCCATTTGCACTGCAGATCTTTTTGGCAATCATGCAGAAGACACAGAGTAAGGCACTGGGGCTCCAATGCCATCCCAGTGGAAACAGTGCCGCTGATTCAACTTCATAGTCACATATTTACAATGCTAGAGTTGGTTGTTTTGGCTGCCACAGCTGATAAGTCAGTTTGACACCCAATAAAATAAACCAGGAGGATGAATTTAATGTCCAAGATACTCTAAGGGTTGAAATGGTCTTAACACGACAAAAACTCGTTTTTAAAAAAATAGTATTGTGATATCATGCTAAGAGCAAACCACCTATGGCCCTCCAGCTTTCATTGGATTATATCCCCCAATATTCCTGATCATTAGGCATCTTGACCAAGGCTTGGGCAATAATATGGGTTCCATTAAAGGCAGGGATCTGCAGACCACTTAGCCTTCCTGAAATTCAAGATTCTTAGAAATGAAGTAACTTTTTGCACAAGGTTGCATGAAAAAAGGTTGTGTCAATGTACCACCCCACCAATTTATGGCAAAATACAGTTCTCCCCCCATTTTCTTCAATCACATAAAAGCCGAGTTTAGAGAATGGAGAGACCTCAGAACTTTCACTGAGGAAAATGGGTGTAGTGGGGACAGCAGGTCTCCGCAACTAGTGGGGTGTGTGATGATGGGGCTGGGGAATAGTTGCCTTCACTCTCTGTTTGGTAGTTACCAAAAGCTATTGAAAAGGATGCTGGACCATATAAAGGTTGGCTTAATCAAGATGGCCCCATTGTATGATTCTTATGGCTGCTGATATTGTTATTTTCTTTTCACTAGTAGTACAAGCTATGCTACCTTTACAGTATCTTCCCTTTGGAAAACATTGTAGGAAGTGATTTTTTTTTTTAATTGGATTGTATGCATACTACTTCATTAGCTTCCTTCCATTTTGGGGAGCTTTAGTTGATTTTTTTTTACAGTTCAGTGTAATTACTTTCTGTGACTTTCTGGCTTCATTTGGCATTTACTCAACATGGTGTTTCTTTTCTGAGTACCCTGTTTTAGTTAATACTGTTTTAATTCTGTTCTGGAAGGATTATCCTTGAAAAGCACAATCCAGCGTACTCAAGTCACTTTAGATTTATAAGTTTGTGGCACTGAGTTTGTTTTGTTTAAATCCCTAAATGAAGAGTAGGCCAGACACAAATGCATTTGGGGACTGTAATCAATGCTACGAAAACAATGACGTGCAGTCAAATTGTCACTCTTGGAAGACCAAATCTGAAAGAGGACACAGTCATAATCCGCCTCAAGGTAAATAAGAACCAGCTTCTTGAAGAAAATGGTAAAATCTGCAGGCGTGTTCCTTTGTCCTCGAGAACTACATCATCAGTGGGCAATGCCAGCAGCAATTACTCCTCCTTGTTTTCTGTCTGCACTTCAGTACCCTTTTATGGCATTGCCATTGGTCTCAAGCCTGGTTTTCTTTCCTGCTTTCTCTCCAGACTTGGCAGGAGAAACTTATTATCAGGACATCCATCCTTCTCCTAAATTTGTTGGGGGATGGCCATGGACTCAGGCAGAAAGCAAGACAGTTCTGGTAATCAGGATTCTTTTCTTATAGAAGATTCCCAAAAATAAAATTATTGCCCTCACACTGACATGCCAGCCTCTTTTGTTCATGTAATAATCTTCTACTTGATGGATTGATTATGTGGCATCAAGCCGTTGTCAACTCTTAGCAACCACATAGATCGATTTTCTCCATGATGATCCATCCCTAACCTGGTTTTCAGGTCTTCCAGCAGGGCCCCCATCCCCACTGTAACTGAGTCTATCCATCTTGCTGGTGGTTGTCCTCTTTCCTTTTACTCTTCTTTCTCTTTCCTTACTACTTCAACTTACTACAGTAGTTGGTTTCTAACCATGATGACATCAAAACATGATGACTCATGATATCATAGAGCAACTCTGCCTTTCATTCTTACATTGTGAGGTTCCCGTACTTGCATAAGTAACAGGTTTTGTGTTGTGATATCACAATCCATGTGTCCTCATTTGTTCCTCCTTCCCCTCTCTGTTTACATCTTAATCTTGTCATTCTATTTCATATTTTACATCTTCTGGAGTACCTTATATCTTAGCTCTATCTTAGCTCTAACTCAAGTTTACACTACCTATATGCTATCCCTAGCCCAAAGTCTTTGTGTGCACAGCAACTCTTGGACTTTCTGTCTGGAGCTGGTGCTTGGGGTTGCTATTGGGTGGAAATCCTGAGGCTCTAGCAGCTCCCTTTTCTGCTGCTGAGTGTTGCATCTTCAGGCCTTTCTTCAGTTGCTGACAGCACCCTTGGTTTTTATGGGAGGGCTGCTAAAATATGGGCTACTTATCAGTGCTCCGCTCCTCCTTAGATACTTTCCAGCACTGTGGGCTTTCCCATAGTACTGCTGGTACTTTGGGTATTGATGCAACCCCCTGGACTAGGGACGCAGTGCCCTGGGCCTCACTCTATGCTGCCAGCACTCCAAACCTCTTACTATTGCCAGCACTTTGGGTGATTTTGCATGCTCACCTATGCCCTGGGTCACTTTGTGAAATTGCCAGCAGCCTGATCCATACTCTGTCACCAGCACTTTGTGCCCTTTTGGAGTGACTGCCAGCTCTCTGAACCTCTTCGTTATATAGCTGAAATCTTTAGCTATATGATCTTTGCCATTGCTCCTCCCATACTGTCACTGCCTCACTACCACTGGTCCGCTGCTGATATTCTGTGGCATCTTTTCAGGACTTCAGCTCATGGTTCATTGCTCTTTCTCTGGACTTCCTTCTTCTTCTGACAGTTTCTATTCTACCTCTTTTCCCATGACATCTCCAAGATCTCTGAAGTAGCCACCCCCCCCCCCCGCTTTTTTTAAGAGCTGACTCATTGATCCTTCAGGGCATTGCCCTTAAATGGTACAAGCAGAAGGAGGGCAATGAGGATTTCACCACTGTGTATTCTCCTACCATAGTCCCCAACCCAGCATGACTGTGTTTGAACTTGGCCTCTGTTACATTTTCCCCTGGTCCTCTACTTCCACTGTGAGCATAATCTCTGTTTTGAAGCAAGCTTCTGATGGCTACAGTTCTATGCATAACAGAATCCTTAAATCACCTGAGGTCACTTTTTTTCTTAATGTTTGTTGATACTGTTTTTTGCATTGTTGTTAATGTATCGTTAGCCACCCCGAGTTGCATATGAGAGATGGGTGGCCGTATAAATTGATTTAATTAAGTGTCCAAGGATGAATTATGATCCCATGGATCTGACACTCCTTCAGGTAATTAGATTTTAGTCAGGAGAAGATGTTAAAGTGGCTTGGGTGCATTTTACCAGAAGTTGGGCCAAATTCACAGCCTGTTTTTTTCTACAAACATTAGAGTATCTTTCTGTTCACTGTGAGCTTTTTCCTTGGTGCATGAAGTTCCTTTTCAAACCTGATCTTGCCCTTCAGATGACTCCTCCATCTTTTGTCTGTGTCTATGCATCTCACATCTCTTGAGGATTCCTGGCTCGAGATGTGCAAATTTCATCTTGCTCTCTCAGACGCTAATTTGTGCGTGAAAACTGAAAAAGTGGAGACTCTAATTTAATATCTCTAGATCCCAGGCAGCAAAGTGGAAGCGCTTAATCCAATCGGCTCTACTGTTGCCAAGCCTCCTGTAGCATATTCTCTTGCATGGGCAGACATCTTTGGTGCTATCTGGGGTGTGTTGCTATGGGGAAGAGGACAAGGCCAGTAAACTGTCACAGTTAAAGGAAGGGAAAAAAATAACCATAAAGAGACTGAAATATTTCTATAGAGCAGAAAAAGAGGAGAGACCTAGAAATCTGTGGCTCTTTCTGGGATTTTTTAGAACATCCCTGCTGTTTTCTTTCCTTTCTTTCCTTTCACAAATGTGGACCAGAGGTGGGACCCAGTCATGGGGGCTGTAGATTATCTTTTCCCTGACCCATGGAGGGGTAGTCCCAAGCAGCATCCTGTTCTGAGGAAATGGTGCGGGAACAAGCATGAATCATTATGGGAAGCAATCAGAGGCACTGATGGAGCTCAGAATTGTAACCCAGTGAATATCTGTGGCTACCACAGATGGCTTACCGTGGCAGGATGTGGAGTGGTGTGGTGCTGTATGGCAAGCATTAGGTGATTCCTGCAGTTGAGTTGCCAATAGAAGACCATCTGACAGCTGTAGGATCTTGTTAGGGTTGAGTGCAGTGTTTCTCCATCTCAGCAGTTTTGGACCAACTCATCTGGGTGGGGAATTCTGGGAGTTAAAGTTCACACATCTTAAAGTTGCTAAGATGAGAAACACTGCACTCAAGCCCTCAGTTAGTGTCAGAATGTGTTTAAAAATCTCTTCCTCCTGTTGGAAGGAAGCAGCAACACCTAGCCAACTATGATGGGTTTTGAAAAAAACTAAGCAGGGTCAGAAGTAGTTATCACTTGGATGAGAGACCACCAGGGAACCCTGGGGTTATACCCTAGTGTGGGAAGTTAAAATATTCTGGAAGAAGGCAGTGGCAACCCCATTCCCCGTTGCTACCGAGAAGGAGATGATATGCGTCCATGTCATGCAATTTTGCATGAGGGAGACTTCATTTTTTTATTCAGAAACCTGGTAGTATGTGATGGAAATGACGATTAGGCTGTTCCATA